AATGCAGTATTCAAGATGTATTTTTCATTTTGGAGAAAAATGGTTGTTACCAGTCATTTTCTACATGTCTTAAAGTGTGGGAAATAAATTTAAAATGTCAGCAAATGATGAGAATTAAGCTGTAAGAAATTAAGTGAAAAAATGGGTCTAATTTCAGTGTTAAAAATGAACCGTTGAGTTTTAAAAAAAATGGATTGCACCATTGAATTCTACACACATTGAAACCTAGGAAATAATTTTAAAATTTCAAAAAAGCATAAAAAATAAGGTACATACATGCATGCAAACAATTAATTGAAAAAATGAGTAAGCAGAAAAAAAAAATCAAAGTCATTTTTATGGTAAATGGACTTTACCATTAAATTCTACACCCTTCAAAGTGTAGGAAAAAATTTTAAAAAATCAAAAAAACTCGAAATTAATGGCAAAAAAAAATTAATTAAAAATGCGGGTTTAAAAGCGGAATGCGCGTGTGCTGTGCCGCAGCAAAAGCGCGTCAAAACGCGGAAAATGCGGGTTTTTTTATTAAGGCCCTTTTTAAAATGCTTAGAATTTTGTGGTAATATTCAATTTCTTTAAAAATCAAAGGATCACTTTGAATATTCCATTCAAACATATTTTTTCAATTAATTTCTTACAGCTTGTTTCTCAATAATTTTTGATATTTTAATTTTTTTTTCCTACACTTTAAGACATTCAAAAAATTATGGTAGTAATCATTTTGCATCAAAATGAAAATTAATTCTTGAATATTGTATTTGGTATGTTTTTTAATTAATTCTTATAGGCCTAATTTTCATTATTTTTTGGAATTTTAAATTCATTTCCTACATTTTGAGAGGTTTCAAGTCTTATGGTATTATTCATTTTACCCAAAAATCAAAGTTCCAATCTTAATGTATGATTTTACCTCGTTTCTTGCATAATTTGTGCTGTATACCAATTTTATTTGTATGCAAAACTGGCATAACCATCAATTTTCAAACCTTTCAAAAGTGGGGAAATAAAACAAATAATGGGAATCAGGTAAAAACACATGCCAAATATAATATTCAAGAATTTATTTTCATTTTGATGTAAAATAATTATTACCATAATTTTTTGCATGTCTTAAATTGTAGGAAAAAAATTTAAAATGTCAGAAAATATTGAGAAATAAGCTGTAAGAAATTAATTGAAAAAATGTGCTTGATTGGAATTTTCAAAGTGATCCTTTGATTTCTAAAGAAATTTAATATTACCACAAAATTCTAAACATATTAAAACCTAGGAAATACATTTAGGGTCTTAGTCAAACGACTCCCAAATATTGGAGTTCCGACTCCCAAATATTTGGGACGTCGCTAAGACCCCCTGCGGACGGTCCGCAGGCCGTCCACCCCCGGAGATGGGAGTCGGACCTCCCAAACCTTCACAGGTTTGGGAGTCGATCATCCCAGAGAAATAAAATAAAGTATAAAAAATGGAAAACCCCGGTG